GTATAAAGTCTCCTCTATTCTCAAAGGAAATATTTTTGTCCTCTGGAAAGGCCTCGGCCCTAATGGTAGGAAATACAGTTTTTTGGGGGTGGGGGAAGACAAGGGTCCCCACATCTACAGGGGTCTGCCCACTGCTCTGTGGCTCCCAGGCCCAGCACACACACAGTTCCCAGGGGCCAGAAGGAGGGACAGCCGGGGGCTGTGTGTTCAGAACCCAGTGGCTCACAGTGTGGCTTGCCACCGGCCGGCCCCACTGCCTTCTGCTTCACGTAAGCCCATCTAGGGCTGAATTTCCAGCCATCTGTCCCTCCACATCGGCTCACACCTCCCTCCCTGCGGTTCCCACAGCCTGGCTCCCAGCCTGCCCTACTCGCAGATGGACGGTTCCCAAAGGGTGTGAGCATAATCACTGCCACAGGGCTGCACCGGAGGCACCACGCGGCTGTCAGGACCCCAGGAAAGCTTTCAAGCTCCCCTCCCCAATCATCCAGAGTGGAGCAGGCCACCCTGGGGGTGTCTGAGAAGACTTCACCCCAAGACCACCTAACTCCTGACCACCACTCTCCTGAATAGCAGGGCCAGGAACCAAAACAAGAGGGGGAGGGGCTCAAGAGAGCTTTGACCACCCTGCCCAGCCAGGCCACTGGCACCTCCATCTCTCCTAGGGTCAACCTCTGGGCCCCCTCCCAGTCCCCTGTCACCTGGCCCAGGGCCTTTGTCAGGAAGCCTAGATACGCCAGTCCTGTGGATCCCCACCCTCCAAACGCAGTTCCCACCTTAAGTTTGACCACATCCCCAGACAGGTCAAGCTCTCAGTTCACCTGGGAAAGGGGGGGGGGGGAGGCTTCAGTCCAAGTGGGTGGGTGCTGAGTGGGCTGGCCCCACCCTGCTGTGGGCTCCAACTTTGCAAAGTGGGAAGGGGGTGCCAGGGGCCGCCCTGCATTCGGCGCGGCTGGAAGAAGACCCCGGGACTGCAGCCGCCAAGTCAAGGTGACAGCGGAGGCGGCGCACGGGACGGACGGGGCACTTACGGTCCGGAGGTCCGGCGGACGGAGGCGGTCGCACTCTAGCGACCTGGCTCCCGAAGTGGCTTTCCCTTCGAACTCGGTCCCCGCCTCCGTAACTTGGGGGCGATCCGCGCTCCGTCTTCTCCCGCCGCGTCAGACTCAGGCGCGCGGCGGGGCCGGGGCGCGAGGGGCGGCCGCCTGGGCCATGCCCGGGCTCGGCTCCGGCCGCTCGCTCCGCCCTCCCGGCTGCCCGCGCGGGAACAAAGCGCGAGCGCCGCCCCGGGCGGTCTCTGGCCTCCGCGGCCCGCGCCCGGTCCAGCCGCCGCGCCTTTGGCTCGCGGGCGCCCGGCTCCGGCTGTCGCGCGCTCGCCCGAGTGTCTCACGGGGCCCCGCGGCCCCCGCCCCGCGCGCTCCGCCTCCGCCTCCTGCCCCCCGCCGCCGCCGCTGCGCCACCTGCCTCCCTCTCGGCGCCCATCGCGCTCGGCTCCGCCCCGGGGCGCCGGCCGCGGGAGAGGGGCCCGGGCTCCGAGCGGGGCCGGCTCGGGAGAGGGGCTCCGCCCGCCGCCGCCCCCGTCCCCGCCCTGGGGCAGACGCGGACCCTAGGGAGCGCCCTGGCAACTCCGTCGGGGGCTCTGGGGGGCACGCCGGCGGCCCTGAGTGTGTGCAAGTGTGGGGGCTGATCCGGCGGGTGGGAGTGGGGTGTGTGTGCAGTTGCGCCGGGAGCCGGGGTGGGAGGGGAGCGCGGAGTCCGGGGGGGAGAGCGGGCCGCGGTGGAGAGAGAGAGGGATGCGCGCCGCTCGGTAGCAGGGGGTGCCCGCGAGGGTAGCACTGGGTGCCGTGGAGTGGGGGACGCCGAGTGAATGTGCGAGAGCGCGGGGTGTCGTGGCGGGGCGCGGGGTGCTCTAGGGGGGCGCGGGGGTCTTGGGGGTAGCAGTGTGGACTCCGTGCAGGTAGCGCAGGTGCTGTGCGTGGCGGGCCCCACGCTCGTGCCCACCCTCGCTGGCTCCGCAGGCCGCGCTCCGCGCGGGCGGGCAGAGGCCTGGAGCTGAGCGCGTCGCGGCACACACCCACCTCTAGCCGTCAGTGGCCACCCGCCTCGCAGTTTTAGGAGTCGCGGCGTCTGGCACCCGGGCGGGAGGCGAGCGGCAGGCGCCCCTCCTCCGGCCGCCGGCCCGCCCGCCGCGTGGCCCGGGAAGGGCCGGGTCGCCTCCGCACTCGGCCGGCAGGGGGCGCCCCTCCCTCTCCTGCCCGCCCGGGTCCGCTTGCCCCGCGCGTGGGATCCCGGAGTTAGCCAAGGCGAAAATGCTGGAAGCACAAGATCCCGCGCTCTTGGGCCTCTGCGGCCCCGGCAACTACACGTGCTTTGCGCTCATTTGCATATCATTCATTGACTGCCAACCCGAAGAAATGCCCCAGGCTGCTGCGGAGACCTGTCACCCAACTTTGCTCCTCTTCCCCGCTATACCCCCACCTCCTCATCCCCACCTGCTTCACTTTTTTTTTTCTGAAGTGCTTTGTGGCATATCTGATGCATTTGCCCAGTTAGTACATTTTAGTAAAATCGATGTTTTTTTCTTTCCTCCTTCCCCAGCCCACACTTAATTTCTTAGAGGCAAGCTGGGGTCCCAGGGTCAAGGTCTTAGGAGACACAGGGGCCAGAACTTCAGAAAAGCAGGGCTCTGATTTGCATCGCATTTAGCATAAATCTGCATGTGAAGGTCCAAGGTCCCCAATTCTCAAGTACAAAAATTCACGGAGATGTGCCAAAAAATGCTTCTCTTCTTCTAGGTTTACTCCAGGGGCCTGTTTCTCCCTAACCCTTGGCCTCTGGACTGAGCTCTGCCCACCAGAGCTGGGCTGGGTGGAAGAAGCCACCAGGGACACAGCCCGAGAGGCTCTGAGAGAGGGGAGGACTGACCGCTCCTGCCCCATTCTCCTGTGTCCACCTCCAGGGGCACTGGGCAGGGGTCTGCTCCGCTGAGTGACCAAGTAGCCACATGCCCCCCGACTCAGTCCCTTGACCTCTTGGGTAAGAGGAGGTATGGTGACTGGTTTAATTGTAACACAAATGTCTGGCGTCTGCTGTTTCCCTGGCTTTCAGAATGTGCTTTAATGTGGGCATTTTCAGTCATTGCAGAAGAACACCCATTTCACAGAATAAAGCGGATCTAAAAGTGGCAGTCATGTTGCTTAAGCCACAGACTTTATGCACTAATATTTATTGATACTGACTCCTTTGTTTCATAGACTCTGAGCTAGCATTGATTTTAAAATGCACCAGTATTTTATATGCCACTGAGAAATGAGAACATGTTCTGCGTTATAGTCCTGAGGTGCCTCTGGATTTCAGAAATGTTAACATGCAAAAAAGTGGGCCAGGTGGGGCGATGAGCAGTAAACAGACATCCTGAAGCAGCCTCAAGGGGCTCCCAGCTGGGTAGGGAGGTAAGCACCTCCCAAACAACCACTGAATTCACATGGAGCATTAGCTGAACCTGGACCCAGCTTGGGCCTGGGGTCCCCTGCAACTCATCCCCTACAAACAACACTTCATTGTCCCAGTCCTTTGTGCTAAGTTAACAATTGCAGTGTCACTCATTGACGCGGAGTACTGAAAACCGTCTGAGACCTGACAGATCCCGAAACACTGAGAATAACACTGATAGTCAGAGACCATGCTCTGGACCCTGTGTTAATCTGAAAGGCTCCCTTGTCCCGGCCTGAGGGAACTATGGCTGGTGGGAAGAAGGAAGCAGCAGAGGTATTGCTTCTTCCTGTGCTGTACCTGGGGACGGGGTCAGATTGACAGCCAGTCCAGCCCTGACACATCACAATCTCAGAGTCACGACTGGAGCTATCAGCATGGAGGAGGCAGGCACTGAGCTGGGCACCATCTCTGCATTTTCCCACTTCTCACCCACCTGCCAGGCAGATGCTACCGAAACCCCCATTTTACAGGTAGAGGGACTGTGGCTCCGACAGGTTGCACAACTTAGCCACAGCTACACAGCCCACACAAGTGGAGGTTGAATACCCATGCTGGCCTCTCACCCTCTTGGTCTCTCTGTTGCCTACCATGGATTGGTTTCTCACATCACAACTCCTGGGCACTGGAACATGACACATAAAAAGAAGAAAACCCATCCCTTCCCCAAAGACATATGCAGCCTGGTGAGCAAGGCAATACTCACCTACCAGGAGACCCAATTATGGGCAAGTCAGTGCCAAGGTGAGGCATCGCCCTAGAGTACTGGACAGAGGGGCACAGAGCAGGAGGGTGGCAGCAGAGATCAATGGCATTGGGTCTGAGTGCCTGTTTGCACCCCCGATGTGCCAGTGTCTATAGAGGCAGGAGTCCAAGTCACCTAAAAGGAACCGCCTTCCTGTCTTGCCCAGCCAGGTGGCTCAATTGGTTGGAGCGTTGTCCCATACTCCAAAAAGGGTTGCAGGTTCGATTCCCAGTCAGGGCACACACCTAGGTTTCAGATTCAATCCTGGCCAGGGCACGTACGGGGGAGGCCATCGATTGATATTTCTCTCCTTTCCTCCCTCCCTCCCACCATTCTCTCTAAAATCAATAAACATATCCTTGGGCGAGGTTTAAAAAAAAAAAAAAAGAAAACCACCTTCCCATCTTTCTGGGTTTCAGCCTCCCCAGGTGAAGCCAACTTTCCACCAGCATCTAGCCCTGGAGAGGGAACTTGGGAACTTCTGCCCTGCCAAAGACACTATTAAGAGAATGAAAAGAAACTACAGACTGGGAGAAAATGTTTGCAAAACACGCCTCTGATAAAAGACTGTTATCTAAAATATATAAAGAACTCTTAAAACTCAGCAATAAGAAAACAAAGGAGCCAATTAGAAAATGGGCCAAAGATCTGAGCAGACACCTCACCAAAGAAGAAGCACAGATGGCAAATAAGCACATGAAAAGATGCTCAGCATCATCTGTCATCAGAGAAAGGCAAATTAAAATGAGATATCACTACACACCTTTCAGAATCGCCAAAATCCAGAACACTAATAACACCAGAGGCTGTTGAGGATGCGGAGAAACAGGAACTTGCATTCCCTGCTGGTGGGATACAAAACAGTGCAGCCACTTTGGAAGACGGTTTGGCAGTTTCTTTCAAAATGAAACATGTTCCCACCATCTGATTCAGCAATCACGTTGCTTGGTTTTTATCCAAAGAGTTGAAAACTGATGTTTACACACAAATCTGCACACGGGTGTTGATTGACCAAACTTGGAAGAAACTGAAAAGTCCTTCGAAAGGTGAAGTGATAAACAAATGGTGGTCCATCCAGACAATGGGATCTTATTTGTGAATAAGATAAAAAAAAAAAAAAAAAAGCTATCAAAGCCATGAAAAGACCTGGAGGAAACTTAAGTGCATATTGCAAGTAGAGAAGCCAGCCTGAAAAAGCTGCACACCGTATGATTCCAACTCGAGCACATTCTGGAACAGGCAACACTTACGGAGACAGTAAAAAGATCAGTGGTTGGCCCTGGCCTGTGTGGCTCAATGGTTGGTGCGTCGGCCTGCGCACTAAGGGGGTCTCCTTGATCTCTGGTCAAGGGCACCTCCTGGATTGCAGGTTTGATCCCTGGCCCCAGTTGGGGTATGAGGCGGAGGGCAACCGATCCATGTATCTCTCTCAGGTCGATGTTTCTTTCCCTCTCCCCCTCCCACTCTCTCTCAAAATCAATGGAACAAATATCCTTGGGTAAGGATTTAAAAAAAAAAAAAGATCAGTGGTTGCCAGGGATTGTGGGAAAGGAGGAATGAATAGATGGAGCTCAGAGGGTGTTTAACTGTAATGGTGGATACGTGTCATTGTACATTTGTCCAAACCCACAGAATGGACACCAAAAGTGAACCCTCGTGTGCACCATGGACTTTAGTTAATAATAATGCATCAGTATTGGCTCATGAATTGTAACAAATTGTCACACCAGTGAACGATGTTAATAATAGAGGGAACGGAGGGGATGGCGATATTTGGGAACTCCCCATGATTTTTGCTCAATTTTCCTATAAACCCAACACTACTCTAAAAAAACAAATTATATTAATTTTAAAAAGCAGCAGACCAAAGAAAACAGAGATACCAATGACATTTTAAAGGTTAGGTGCAGCCCTGGCCGGTTTGGCTCAGCAGTTAGAGTGTTGGCCTGCGGTCTGGAGAGACCCGGGTTCAGTTCCTGCTAAGGGCGTGTACCTCGGCTGCAGTTTGTCCCTGGTCCTGGTTGGGTCGTGTGGGTGGCAACCACTCGATGTGTCCCTTTCACGTCGATGTTTCTCTCTCTCCCTCCCACTCCATCTGAACAAAATATCGAAAAATGTCCTCGGGTGAGGATAAAATAAAAAAATAAAAAAATAAAAATAAAGGCTATGTGCAGTTGGAAAAACATACATGAATAGCCTCTTTGACACCTGACTTTTCCACCATCACCTTCTCTCTTTCTCTCTTTTAGTTAGAATGGAGGGGGGGGAGGGAGAGAGAGAGAGAGACAGAGAGAGAAACATCAATGTGAGAGAGTCACATCTATTGGTTGCCGGGGATCAAACCACAACTGAGGCATGTGCCCTTGACCGGGAATTGAACCCGAGACTCCCTGGTCCCTGGACCGATGCTCTAACTGCTGAGCCAGATGGGCCAGGGCTCCTTTTTCTCTTAATGCACATTCCCATTTCACCCAGCAGAATTTTATCCTTATTTTCAGTTTGACAGTCACACAGAACTATGTAAATAAATTCGAATATCGAGATTAGAACATTTTCTTGTGTTAAAATGTGTCTTCTGGGTTGGGTTATCATTATGACCATTAATAGTATGCCACTGATAGAAACAATGTGAACTTGGTATACATCTGAGAATTGTTAGACGGAAAAGTGTATTTTTATTGAAAATACCCCTTCTACAATGAGGGATGAGGCAGGGCGTGTTTCAGTAGTTAGTCTATTCGCTAGAAGACAGGGTTGGGATTAATTCCATTGCTATTGTGGGCTTTTAATGTGAAAGCCCGAGAACCCTCAATCCCATAAATAGATCGGGATGAATCCTGAAAGGCAGCTGTGCCCTGGTGACACCCCTGTGGCCTCCTTCTGACAGTTACATGCTCTGAACCACATGGTCACTGGTCATAAAAATGATTTTGAATGACTATCAGCTGACAAGTCCACAGTCCCCCTTCAGTGTTGTTGCAAGCAAAGCCTGGAAATCGCCCGAGTTGCTAACAGATGTGTTTGCTACAATAGGGGCGACGGGGGTGAGGCATCATGGCTAGACCTAGGCCTTCTTTTGGGAAATGAGAGAGGAGTAACTATATACAGGACGCTGGGAAAAGGGGTAATGCTCAGGCTCAAGTGTGTGTGTGTGTGTGTGTGTGTGTGTGTGTGGCGTCCTGTCCTGGCCACCGGGTGTGGACATCAGATTCCAGGGCGTTGAGTCGACTATGAAGGGAAAGAAACCTAAAGCAGAGGAAGTCCTGGCTCTAGCCAGGAAGCTGCCTGCCCTCAGGAGCATCTCTTGTCTTTCTCCCCCAGCCCCTTGCCCAAGACTGACCCAACCAGGATCCAGGGAATGGCCCCTTATGGAGAAGGGGAGGTTCACCCAGAGCCCAGGCAAAGGCGCACAGGGAAGGCAGAGCTGGAGGGCCGCGGGATCAGCCTGTCCACCTGGCGCCAGGGCAGAGGCATAAAGGTGTGCAGGCAGGTGCACTGGGCAACAGGCAGGAAAGGCAGGTGTAGCAGCATGAGGGACCTCAACACTTTCCTCCGTGCACACAAAGGTGGCCCTGCCTGTCAACAAGACACCCGCTGTGAGACTCATCTGCAATGCCTTCTTGGGGTATCCACGAGGAACCCTGCTTGCCCAGGCCCTGGCCCACCACCCCACTCTGCGCTGTCTCCTTCTTCTTGCTTGCAAGCACAAGCCCCGGCTGGTTTAGGTCTCCATTTCGCCTACTCCAGCCACTCCAGGACTCCACCCAGCCCTGGATCCAGCCTGGCCAACTCCCACCCTTCCGCCTGTTCACAAAGAAGCTCATTTCTCTGCTGGTGAGTAGCTCAAATGTGGACATGTGATCCAACCTCAGCCAATAAGATGTAAGGGGAGGGGCTTCTGGGACTTCCCTGGCTCCCCCATGCAGGGAGGTATCAGCAGTCTCTTGAACTGCTGTGTCTGGAGGTGACCCTGAGCTTGCTGCTGCTCTGTGGCTACCACCCTGACGATGGTGCTGACATTGGGGAGGACACAGATGGACAGAAAGGATGGGGTTCCTCAGAGCATTGGTCAATCTGCTGAATCGACCAAACTTGAAACCCACCCTACTTCTCAACGCGCTCCTCTGATAATAAATTTACTTTTCTTCAATATAGTTTTAGCTTAGGTTTGTTTCTTGCAACCAAAAGCCTCCTGACATTATGCCTTTCTTGCTCTCAGTCACCTGAGGCCTGCTTTGAGTTACTGTTCATCATCCTTGATGCACAGAGTCTCCAACTTTAATATGGAGCAGAACTACCTGGAGCGACCGAAGGGGAGACTCTGGGACGAGGGTGGCAAGTGCTCAGGGGCAACGTTTAAGGAGGCACCAAAGAACTCAGTGTTTGAGCTAAATCACATTTTAACCCAATACCGAAAAAAATTAGAATCAATGCAAAAATCCATGATAAGCAAAATATAAAAACATTAATTGCAGACAGGATTTCCAGTACAGATTTCTCCCTCTGGGTGAGGCTCCCACACGGAGAGCTTAGCCCTGCCAACTCCTTCTTCTGGGATGAGATTAAAGGGCAGGCAGGGCCAAGAACCTGCCTCTTACAATCAGTCAGCGGTCTGCCTTTTCCTGCAGGTGATTCTGCGTGGTCGAAGACCGCATCTTGGGAAAGAGGGCCCCAAAGCATGTCTCAAGCCATTCACGGGCAGGTGCTTCCTCCTTATCACAGCAGCCCTGCAGGTGAGCTTAAACTTCCACCTGGATTCTGAGAATGGGTGACAGGCTCCAGGAGGTGAAATGCCTTGTCCAGGGGCAGGGGGCAAATCAATGGCTGAGCACTGTCGTCCTTGGTTCCCCCAGAGGTGGACACGGAGGAAGCCAGTAGGTGCCTAGTGGGGGCCTCCAGGAGGCCCAGACAGAGGAGTGGGAGACCAGAGGAAGGTAGCTCACTCCCCTAGGGCTGCTAGAATTCCATCTTCTGGGCATCCCGGGGAACCCTAGAAAGGCCCTCGGAGCCATCACCAGAGGAGGATATTTATGCAGCAGCTCCTGTCCCTTCGGGGTGAGGGCTGCCCAGACTCTCAATCTCCCTTGTGTCCTCCTATGCGGTGACCAAGGACAGCCATAAAGGAGGGCCAGGGGCAGGTGGCCAGAGGGTGTATGCAGAAGTGGGGGCATGGTGTGTGGGTGGGGTACAGGGACAGCTAGCACTAGCAGTGCCTGGACAGACCCCTGCCACACCAGACCCCTGACTCCTCCGTGGGGCTCCCTCTATGTAACTCAGCGTGCCTCAGAATGCTGCAGTCCTGGGAAAGGCTTCTGGGTTCCCAACCATTTGATTCCGGGTCATTTGTTTTTAGGTATGTCGAAGCTTTAGTTAGGAACATAAAATAAAGAATCAGGATGGTGGTCACGTTGAGAGGATTGTGAAGTCAAGTTCTCCTGGCAAAGTCATTAATTATTGTGTGTGCAAAGCAGGCAGCTAAAATCCCAGTTCCAGGCTGAGCCAAAGGCAGCGGCCAGCCAGGCAGCCTCGGAGAAGGAGCTTTCTCGTGCAGGGCAGCCGCCTGCTGTCTCCCACGTGTGCAGGTGTGCGGGTCAGTGCTTTCAAACACCCTTTCCTTCAAACTCTGGAACAAGCCCCACGGCAAGTTACAAACAGATAAGGAACTGAGGCCCAGGAGACCCAGGACTTGTGGGGAGGTGGCAATGCTGGAATGGAGGCAACTCTGCCTGGGGCTGAAGCCCACACCTCCTTATGCAGCGCTGCTGCCCACCCTACCCTGCTCCTTCCTCCTGTTACCTGGCCAGCCACCCCTGCTACCCGCTGGCTTGCCTGTCTACCAGCCCGTCCACACTGTGGGTGACAGTCACAGGAAGGAGGCCATGGAAGGGTGGCCCATCTCCCTTCCGGATTGCAAAAAGGAACCAAGCATGAGTGGCTAAGGAGGACGCAGTTCCCAAGGGCGGGCGCCGCTGCAGAAGGGTTGGACGACCCAGGTGTAGCGTCAGCTGCAGTGCCCAGCACAGCCCCAGGCTGTCACCTGCAGGACCAGCCTGCCACCCCTGCACGCCTGGTGGTGTCTTTTCCC